GGCTAATAGCCAGTCCTGTGCATAGTATTATAAGTTAGTTCATGCACAGTAGAAATTTAGAGCATCTGTTTGGCTGGGAGAGGTCACATGTTGAATCTGCACATTATTTTCTCACATTCTGTTTAGTAACTTAGAAGCTACTAATTGCATTCCAGGAGTTACTTAGTTTTGTTTCTGTAATGTTTGAAATAATATCCTGTGGTTTTATTTCTCTTATTATCTTTGTTGATCAATATCATTGAAATTGTGATCCATATTCCTTATTGTCACCTGTTACATTTTGATTCATATTTTGCACTGATTTGGATTTTTAAATTGGATTGTGTACAACCCAGGGGCCTTAACTCAAGCCTCTCACTAGCATGCTTTCTGGATGACAGATAATAGAGACACTCCATGGACGATGTGATATTTTCCCCCCAGGGAGAAATCCTCGGATTGGTTAATGGGATTTCTCAGTGGGCCATGTTGCACATAGGCAGCTCTGAGCACTCATGGCTTCCCGCCGTTCACACCCATTTCTCTCCCCTTTTTTCCCCCCTACCCCCTCCCAAAGAGTGCAGGGACTAATACATTCCACATGGTATAACATTAGGATAAATCCTATTTACAAATGCACAGGGCATACATTATAATTTCCTCTCCATCTTTTATAAAAATGGGATGGTATTGGTTAAATCTGCATAGGATATATTATGTGTTTTGAATCACTATGCCCCACAAATATGTATGCATCTCTGTATATTTGCATGAAGTTGGTACTACTTTACCATGGATTATGTGTTTTCTCCCCTCTGCAAATAATTCGATGACTGCAGCAGATTGATTGCATAGAAGATACATGTATCACTCACTTTGCATCCATGTACTGCAATGTAAGATTATGATCCCACCAAGTCATTAATGGACGACATGGGGTTAATGTTGTATGATAGCAAAAAAGAAATAATTGAAATCTATGTTTATTTTTATTCTTTTCATTCACATTTCTAATATTGCAATCTCTTCTGCCTTGATTGTAATGAGAAAACCGCCCGGCACTGAGTCCACCCTGCCATGGATACCAGCCCTTTACTTTTTCAATTGGTTCGCATGCAGCGGTTTTGTATGTGTATTTTCACATCAGAACAGCGCCTGCGATCAGATATGGCCAGCGGGGAGAATTACAGCCGACGGGGATGTGCGCATGCGCGGAACCAGCAGGCCCTCATTTGCATATGACGGCTGGTACGCAAGCCAGAACTTCCCTGCGTTTCACACGAGACAGATACGTGTGGACGAGGGGGCGGTGCTGAAAGCCATTGGGCTCTGTGCTAGCGTTCTTCTCAAATGGGAGGGGTCTGTTTTAAACCTCACATTTTGGATGTCCATTTAAGGTGCACATTGTTCCATTGCTGTGTTATTCTGAGCCTGATGAAGGGGACCCTTTGAGGCGCCGAAAGCGCTTGCATTTATGGCAATGTACCAATAAATGGACTATTTCCCCCCAAGTTAAAACACAGAAAAAGTGAAAAAAAAGAGTAAATATTTATAAGGGGGCACCCAGCCGAGGTGTCATATGAAAGCATTATCACACCTCGGCTCACAGACCTGAATAGCATTCGGAAACTCACGAATAGCACTCTGGAGTTCCTGATTGCTATGTAGCATTTGACAGCTGAGAATGTCAAATGGGCGGA